GAGAGAGAGAGAGAGAGAGAGAGAGAGAGAGAGAGAGAGAGAGAGAGAGAGAGAATGCGAGTGCCCATGGAGGCCAGAGGTCTCGGATCCCCAGGAGCTGGAGTTAGAGCTATGTGAGTCGCCTGCTGGGTCCTCTGCAAAAGCTATAATGTGTTGTCAACCACTGAGCAATCTCTCTAGCCCCCGTTTAAAAAATGTGGGTGCTGAGGATGAAACTCCGGTCCCCATAATTGAGTCATCTCCCCCAAGCCCCTTAAAGTCCACTTTCTGCCTGACATCACTTCCTGGCACACGGTTTAGTATCTGGGTATTAGTTGTGTCTCTCTCCTCTCTGGAAGGGGCTGAGGAAGGAACTTGGCTGGCTCATATGCCTCCACCTGCCCCATACAGAGCACGGGCGCCTGACAACAGCTCAGAGATGATTTCCTGGGCAGCTGAGTGAGAGCCACACTCGTGAGCTCCGGTGTCCCAGACCCGTCTTCCTGAAGGCAGGTACCACCGAGAGAATACAGAAGCCTATGTAGGTGGAGGGGGAAAGAACTCACAGCCAGGTACCTGGGGTCAGATCCCTGCGCTGACACTTTCTCGTCATGTGACCTCAGGTGGGCACAGCTCTCACTCTGCTCCTCAGTTTCCCCTTGTGGCATCTGGGATAATAATAGCCAGTCCCCCGCAGGGCTGCCCTTTTGGCTTCAATGGGGCTGTTGTGTGGGATACAGACAGCGTGACTAATTCTGGAAGCTGGTTCCCTTCCTGGAAGGGGAGAGTGGCGGGGTGGAGCGGTGGGGTTTTCAACAGTCAACAAAGGAACCCTTGTGGGCATGGCCCCGGGGGGTGGGGGAGGAACATGTCCAGCCCTGTGGGTCTTGGACAAAAGTCCCAGGTCTCAGAGAGGATTACCAGGGCGGTCACATTCTTTGAAGACTGCAACAAGAAATACTGGTTTTTGGAAGAGGAAGACACTGCAGTGTCTGGGGCTTTCTATGTCCCTCTCCTTGCTATGAGCGGCAGTGAAGCTGGGGAGGGGTTGCCCCCACCTTCCGATGAGGTAGAGTTGAGGTGACCTCCTGGTCACAGGGATTTGCTCACATAACTAAAGTGGAAAAAAATTAGAATTTAGGCCGTACAAAGGGCTGGGCGTTTTCCCACCATAAGAAAACCCAACCTGAGGATGCTGTGGCACCCACCCACGGCCCAGCCTGGGATTTTCCTCACATCCCCTCAAAAAGAAAAGTCAACTTGAGAACAAACCTAATATTACAGAAGACCCCAGACCAGGAGAAAAGCCAAGAAACCAAATTAGTATCTCGGTCAGTTCCTGTAACCTGGAAATATTAGCTACATAATCGAAAAATCTGACTCATTTTGGTTTTGTTTTAATGATGTTTGCAGTTATTTGTACCCCAGACAACCAAACTGGTGTATGAAGGGGTTCTGTGGACCCACAGTGTCTGCGCTTTCACTGGGAGACACAGTATGTATGGTTTTTCACTGAGTCTGAGCCGTTGTGTGGTGATTTGGGCTTCGGTCAGTACGAGAGTCTCTGGACATTGTGAGTGCTTGCTCCAGCCAGGTCAGGGGTCCTCAGTCAGTCGGGGTTCCACCAGCCTGGACATAAGAACCACGGAGCATTTGGACCTGTTCTTCCTTAAAGCACAGCAAGCAAGAGGAACCGTAAGACAAAGACAGCCCTGTAGGGGCCGGGAACTCAAGCGTCCTCTTGCCAGTGCGGTGGGATGGGAGCACCCGGTTGTGTGACAGGCGCTGGGAGAGAGTGGGTGGCGCCAGAAGGTGCCCCTGGGAGTCCCATACCCACCAGAGGATGGGGGGCAGCTCAGTGCAGGTGGAGCGTCCACAGCAACGGGGGGGGGGGGCTCACATACTCTGCCAGAGGGCGTCTCTGGACACGTGCATTTGTTCACGTGGGGCAGCCATGCTGGACTGAGCCACTCGGACAGCGGCCCTGAGCACAAAACACAAGTCACACTGACAGCCCTCTGGACAGGGTGCCAGGCAGCTGCCAAAGGGCAGTGTGTGCACCGGAGCTGGGACACGAGTCTCAGAGCCGACAGCGGCTGTGGGAAGAGCGGGCTGGTGCTAGAGGAAGACAGCTGGGCTGCCTGACTGAGCATTGCTCTGCTGGAGGCATTGCCTACCAGAAGGGTACCAAAGGAGCAGAGAGGGACTGCTGTGAAGATGTGGTGGCCATGTGATGGTGATGATGATGGATGTACGGGGTGACGATGGTGATGGTGGTGGAGGTTGTGATGGCTGTGGTAGTGGTGATGGTAATGATGGAGATGGTGGTGATGGTGGCCACGGGGTTCTTGTGCCAGGCGCACTGAGAAGGGCCTGAAGCTGTTTGTTAGCTCTCCAGGGCTGGGGTGCGGCTCAGCAGTGGCTCCCTTGCCTAGCGTGCAGGAGGTCTGCATTCTGCCCTCAGGGCTGCAAAAATAAACAAGCAAAAAAGTAAATAACCTATCATCACAACTAAATGAGAAGAAAAGAAACAAACAGGACCTCCGTGAGCTGCTTCCCATGGGGCCTGTCCCTGAAAGACTCCACATGTCTAGTGGCCTGCCAGCAGCTGGGAGACCACAGGGTCTCAGCAGGGCCACCTCCAGGCCTCTGTCCTGGCCAGCCCTCACTGCCAGCCGCTGCAGCTCCCTGTGCCCTGTTGGAAACAGTTCCGAACCTCGGGCCAAAGTCCCGAACAGTTTTTATCCTGTCTCAGCGGGAGTGGCCGTTCGTTAGATCTTAGGTTTTGCAGCCTGCCTGTTTGGCTTCAGATCTCGGCTCAGCCACCTGGGCAGGTCTCCCAGTGTGTGCCACCCAGCACCGTGGCCACCAGCCCCCAGTAGCCAGGGCAGGCCCTGTGTCTTTAGGGGCTGAGAAACCTCACATTTCCTGGAGCTATTTCACACTCAATTTTTGTTTGTTTCCTTGAGGTAAGCCCAGACTGGAGTGAACTCACAATCCTCCTGCCTCAGCCTTCTGAGTGCTAGGCTAACAGGCCTTGGCCGCCACCCCAGGCTGCCACTGTTTAGAGTTACTGTGGCTGGCAGCTGCATCTGATGTGGCAGGATTAAACTGTGGGCAGTGCTGTGTTTCCTGTCCCCCTTCTAGTGGTAGAGACATGAGTGCGCAGGCGCGCCTGGCTTGGACCTGTGTCTCAGTGTCTGCTCTTTCCCCCAGTGTCAGTCCCACCCACAGTGAGCCCTTGATTGACAGGCTGTGTGGCCCTTCATTGGTCGACTCTCACGACTGCACAGGTGGGCGTGACAGCCTCACTCTTGACATTTTTGTTTTTATTTTGTTTTATTTTTTTATTTTAAAGGGTACAGAGCACAGAAGTGTTCAGCAACTTTCCCAGGGGCGCACAGAAAGTGGTGGAGCTGGGTTCTCATCCAGGCAGCTTGGCTTTGGGATCTGGGTTTTCCTCAACGCTGCACAGGCAAGTGGAGACATTCCTTACCTTGAAGGAGAATGGAATGAACTGCAATCCCAGGACTTGGGATAGGCTGAGCCAGGAGGATATAAGATCAAGGCAAGTCTGAGCTGCATAGTTTGGGACCCTGCCAAAAAAAAAAAAGAAAAAAGAAAAAAAGACAACAGCAGAGCCGGTCCTAGCAATGTGGACATGCAATCTCCACTACACTGGAGGTTAAGGAGAGAGCATGGGAAGTTCATGCCCAGCAGGGACCACTTAGCAAGTCTGGTCTCAAAATAGAAAAAAAAAACACAAAAAGGTTAGGCATGTAGCTTAGTGGAAAGCACCTGCTTAGAATCTCCCAGTGAAGAGCTGGGGTGTGGCTCAGTGGTTGAGCCTCTGCCTAGAATCCCCCAGTGAGGGGCTGGGGTGTGGCTCAGTGGTAGAGCCCCTGCCTAGAATCCCCCAGTGAGGGGCTGGGGTGTGGCTCAGTGGTAGAGCCCCTGCCTAGAATCCCCCAGTGAGGGACTGGGGTGTGACTCAGTGGTAGAGCCCCTGCTTAGAATCCTCCAGTGAGGGGCTAGGGTGTGGCTCAGTGGTGGAGCCCCTGCCTAGAATCCCCCAGTGAAGAGCTGGGGTGTGGCTCAGTGGTAGAGCCCCTACCTAGAATCCCCCAGTGAGGGTCTGGGGTGTGGCTCAGTGGTAGAGGTCTTCTCTTACATGCACAAGGCCCTGGCTTTGGTCCTTGGAACTGAAAATCATGATCACAGTGACTGCTGAAACTGCTTAATGCTGTTGACAAAGATTGCCTGGCAGCAAGACGAGGACACGGGAAGTGGACATTTGTCCTTTGGGCACTGGCCAGTACCTATTGCCACCACTAACCTCATCCCAGCCTCTGCCAGGCCATGCCCCCAGGGGCCAAGCCTGGGTCAGGCAGACACCAATTGGAGAATCCTGTTCCCAGGCTACAGGACAGATTCAAGAAGGAGCCAATCAAAGCTGCCGGGACATTGTGAACTGATGTTTGGGTTTCCTCGGGACTCTTTCTCTTGCCGGGCAGAAGTTGAGGGACTGCCAAGGATGTTCTGGGAGATTTTGTCTGTAGGAGGAGCCAGTAGGGTGGGAAGCAATGCAGAGCCCCCGAGGCGGGCAGGGCTGATAACGGCTCAGTTGGAGTTCTTGAAGGAGACAGGGCTGAAGTCCCACCAGCATTCATGAGGGAAGCCAACCCAGTGAACAGTCTAAGTGGGAGGACGCAGTGGGCACGGTGAAATCCAGGGCAAGTACCCCTTACCACACACCCTCATCAAGGCACTGAGGTGGGCGTGCATAAATCCACCAATCAAATGTAGAGGATGAGTCTGTCCAGACTCCTGGGACTGGGACTGAGACACCCCATCTTAGTTTCTTTTCTATGCTGTAATAAAACACCATGACCAGGCTGGAGAGCTGGCTCAGTGGTTAAGAGCACTGGCTGCTCTTCCAGAGGTTCTGAGTTCAATTCCCAGCAACCACATGGTGGCTCACTGCCATCTATAATGAGATCTGGTGCCCTCTTCTGGCCTGCAGGCAGAACACTGTATACATAATAAATAAATAAATAAATCTTAAAAAGAAAAAACCCACCATGGCCAAGGATGAACTTGGGGCTCGGGGTCCTAAAGGGTTAGGGTCCATAATGGTGGGGACAGCATGACGTGACAACAGGGGCCAGAATGGCGGCTTGGGCAGCAGCTGAGACCTCACATCTCAAATTGCAAAGAGGAAGCAAAGGCCACATGCCAGAAACAGGGCATAGTTTTTGAAACCTCAAAGCCTACCCCCAGTGACATACTTCCTCCAACAATGCCATACCTCCTAAACGCACCCAAACACTGTTATCCACTGGGGACCAAGCATGGGGACATTGCATGCAAACCACTGTACTCCCCTAGAGCCTTTGGGGTGTGACCCTGCCTCCTTAGATGAATGTCGTGCCCTGGCCTGGCTTTACTTGTGTCTGTCAGTCAGGATGTGGACTGAGGAGCACGGAAATGGGGGAGGGGGAACTTGTCAAGAAAGTTTTTGGTGGGGAATGTAGCTCAGTGGTAAAGCACTTGCTTACCTAGTTATACACAAGGTCTTGGATCCCGCTCTGGCACCGCCACCATCCCCCACCCCCTCAAGCCTATGCTGCACAGTGAGACTCAGAAGAAAAGCAAGATGCTGGGAAGGTGATTGCTTTTGCACGGAGCCGGAGTTTGGTTTCCAGCACCCACATCGGGTGGCTCATGACTGGCTGCAGCTTCAACTCTAAGGGATCCAACACCCTCTCTGGCCTCTGCAGCCACGTGCTCATATGCGCATGCACGCACACACACACACACACACACACACACACACACACACACACACACACACACAAATAAAACAAACCTTGGAAAAGAAAACTAAAACACACCATGCCATCCCCAGTTGGCTCTCTGTACCTCCTACTTTTGGATCAGGATGTAAGCACTCAGCTGCTGCTCTAGGGCCATGCCTGCCTGACGGCTGCCATGCTCCCCTGTAAGTGGAGTTTTCTCTCCGGGTCCCACCAAGCCCTGGCAGTTCCTTAGCCCTCTTATAAAATAAACATACAGACGCTTATATTATTTAAACTGCTTGGCCATTAGCTCAGGCCTATCATTGTCTAGCTCTACTCTTATATTCAGCCCATTTCTATTAATCTATACTTTGCCACGTGGCTCGTGGCTTACTGGTACCTTACATCTTCCTTGTCCTGGCGGTGGCTCCAGGCAGGCTCCTCCTTCCCCTTCCTGTTCCCTCCATTCTCCTCTCTGTTCGTCCCGCCTATACTTCCCGTCTGGCTACTGGCCAATCAGTGTTTTATTTATTAACACATTTGCCATACAGAACATCCCACAGCACTCCCCACCATGATGGTCAAGAACTCTGGCCCTCCGGAACTGTAGGCCACAAATAAAATGTTTTTTATAAGTTGCCGTGGTCATGGTGTCTTATTACAAGATAGACAAGTAACTAGGACACAGACTCAGATCTGTGGCTGTCTTAGGACTGGCTGACACTTACCAGAAGGACAGTCAGGGTAGGCCCCACTGCTGTGCATCTCCACAGCTTCCCATGATGCTGATGGTCAGGGGTAGCCTCTTGAGGACCAAAGATGTCGAAAAGAAAGCATTGGTGCAGGGATTTAGGCCCAGTGACAGGGTGTCCTGGAGTCGGGAGAGGGGACGAGTGGATTGGGGGAGTGTGGGTAAGTTGGCCGTCAGGTTCAAGGTCACAGGTGTGACGAGGCCTGGTGTGTTCAGCTGCTTGCGTCTTGTGATTTTCCTGGGGAGAGCTGAAAGAAATGTTTGTTTGTCCACCCCAAACAGGAAGGGAGATGACGGGCCAAGGAAAGTTTCCCTCCAGCCCAGCCCGGCCCAGCCCAGCCCAGCCCAGCCCAGCCCAGCCAGAAAATACTTTTATTAGGGTTACTAACAGGAGCGTGGGCAACTCAGAGTTGCTGCACCCCAAAAAAGTTCATTCTCAGTCAGTTTCCCACTTCTTCTCCAGTACCAGCACCAGAAGGGCAGGCGGGAGGGAGTGGGGACTTAAATCTTGGGGAGGGTCTCATGAGGGTGATATGACCCTCCCCGTCCATTGCTGCATACCTAGTACGATACTTAATCTTAAAATTATTTTAAATTTTATTACATTTTATTTCTGTGTGTGCGTGTGTATGCGCGCACATGCCTGTGTGCACGTTTAAGTCATGGTGTGCATATGGAGGTCAGAGGACATCTCAAAGAACGGAGTTGGTTCTCTCCTTCCATCATGAGTCCTGGGGATCAAACACCAGTCACCAGGCTTGGCAGCACAAGCCCCTCCCCCTGCTGGGCCATCTTCTCACAGGTCCAGGTCCTTGTTTCGGTTTGGTTTGGTACTGGGAACTGAACCCAGAGCCTTGCACTTGGCAGTGATAATTCATCATCATTGTCAACATGAGTGGATTCTTTAAAGAGAGCCCATTTCTCTGCTCTGCCAGCTGCCAACTGGATCCAACGGCTGCTCTAAAACAATGGCCCCCAACTCTGATGTCTTCCCTACTGAAAGGCAGACTGTTTGTCCCTGCCCCCTAGAGTTCAGACAGATTGACAATAGCGCTGACTGACCAAAAAGCAAAAACAAGGCTGGGTGCCTTTAATCCCAGCACTCGGGAGGCAGAGGCAGGCAGACCTCTGAGTTCGAGGGCAGCCTGGTCTACAGAGTGAGTTCCAGGACAACCAGGGCTACACAGAGAAACCCTATCTCAAAAAAAACAAACAATCAAACAAGACCAATGAAGCAAAAACAAGGTTAGAAAAGGCAGAAGCTTCTGAAATACTCACCCTGGAGCCCTGGGCTCACTTGTAAGAAGTGCAAATGTCCCAAGGCAGCCATGATGGGAGAGACCTCAAGCCACACAGAAGATGAGCTAGTGGTCCCAGTGGAGGCCAGCCTTCCGGCCATAGACACAGGCTGTGGGCCAAGAAGCCTCCATGGTCCCTCACTCACCACATACTTCCGTCCTTTTCGTTGCTGGCCAAGTGCAGCACATCATGGAGCCGACACAGCGATCCCTGGCCAACCTTGCGTGCCATGGAGCCAATGAGCCTAATGGAAGGGTTGTTATCCCCTGCTAGGTTTGGGCGGTTTGTTTTGCAGCCATAGGGCAGAGCAGGAGCTCCCTGAGTAACTTGCATTATTGTAATAGCATTGCTTTTTATGCAGAAACCAAAAATTCATCTCCCTACGCACACCGCTGTTTGAACCTTCCCAACAATTACTTCTGAATGTAAAATTAATGGCCTTCACAGCCCTCATGGCAGGGAATTAATCATGGCAGTGTTTGCACTTGAGAGGAGCTAGTGTGAGAAAGAGACTGCACACCGCTCCCTTCTTGGCTGCCGACATTCTCACGCACAGAGCCTGCTGCTGCAGCTAAGTGCAGAGGTTCTTCTGTAGGCAGAAGAGAAGAACAACGCCGGATGTGAGGTGCCGGCCTGTAATCCCAGGAGCCCCAGGCAGGAGGATGGTTCCTTCTAGGCCAGCCTGGGCTACAGTCATGATTTGAATCTCAAATGTCCTCCCCCAGTCTCCTGCATCTGAATTCATAGTTCCCAGCTAGTGGTGCTGGTCCCAGAGGCTATGG